TGGTGTGTACCCCCCAAGAGGTTGCGATCACAGACTGCTCCTACAAAGATTCAATTAGCCATCTTTAATGACAAGAAGGAAAATTCAGAGCCTCAAATTATTGTATGGTCTCACTCATAATACAACCGATTGCCCGTTTCTTCTTGGGGAGTTGCCATTCCGTGTTCCTCGCCCCGAGTCTCGGCACGCTTCAGCTTTCTATCTCAGCGCAGCAAGATCCAATATCCTTATGCAGTGTCCGATATATTTCATGTGTACAGTCTTCGATTCACTGTCTCATCAATGTGATATACATGCTGACACGCTGAATAGTATTATTGAGTCTCTCTTACGTGTAGAGTGATTGATTTTTTGCTTCTGTTGATGTTATTATTGCTAATGGTGCCGCTGCCTATATTATTGTGGTCGTATTGTTAGTATTCCCAATGACGCTTTTACTGATATTGCTATTGTTATAATTAGTATTTTAATTTGTTATAATTATAATTAGTATTTTGCCATTATTGCATTATCACTTTTTTTCTCATTCTTTTTTATTATTTTATTTTATTTTTATTTTTTCTTAAAATTAACTTCAATTTGTAATTACTGTTTATGTTATTTACTACCAATTTATTTATTATTTATATTTATAAAATTTCCTGTAAGTGAGTTTAAGTACCTGTTGGAAATAAAGACTATTTATTTATTTATTTATTTATAACTCTTTTTGGAGGGGGGGGGGAAGAGGTGGGAGGAGATAAGGAATGAATATATGTATGCTATATATTTGTAACTTTTGTAATATTTGCTTATTGAGAGAAAATATTAAAGGTTAGAAGCCGGAGGCGAAAAATTTTCCCGGGTGCCACGGAACACGTCGAAAAACATTTATGTATTTTGAGCCTTATAAGAAACTAGCTGACCCGGCAAACTTCGTACCGCCTCTGAATTATTAAATATACCTATTAAATGTTGTGTTAACGTATCTATTAGCTGAATTAAATTCAGTTTTTTTCGATGGTGAATTTGGCTTTGGTTGAAGAAAATTAATGTTTACTCTCTGGATCAGAAGTCACCTAAAATTAAAATTTTACATCATCCTTTTTTTAGGCAGCTTGTGGGCATTATTCTTGTAAAGTGTACCACCAAATGAATAAACTCAGGCACAGGAATGTTCAAAGAATGTAAAGAAAACAAAAAAAATCTCTGATCTACTTTTTCTGCACCACTCTATCTGATCGGAATAGTGGAATAGTTCTGTTCGAAATAGCTCCAGTTCCTGAGCAGCATTGTTCTACTGTATCTGCAATGCCGAGCTCCGTTCCAGGTATCAGAGATGGCGCGGTATACAAAATACAAAATAAACTTGGTATCGGTTATAAGAGATGCGCCGTATGCGGGCTTAAAGTGCGTTTTTTTTTAAAAGATAAAAGTCAAACTGACATTAGGTTGGCAATACAATGTAAAATTGTCAATGCTATCAAATTTTTCATGTAGAAAAGGCTTGTGTTGCCAACATAGTTACTAAATTTTTGACTTGGGGAATTATCTTTAAAAAAAAAACAGATTTTAGTAAATTTTTTTCATAAATAAATAAAATAAGTAATGAAATGACCACATTAATGACATAACAACATGCTGGTACTGTCAACGCTGAAAAAAGTTTCAATTTGACAGCAAAATCCCCATTAACAAAATGATCCTCCATTTATTGAATAATTCATTTATTATAAAAAATGTGATAAATGAAGATCCGCTCGACCGATTTTGTGCAAACTTCACATAAATTATCTAATAAATAGTCCGAACAAAGCCTGAAGATTTGGTTTGGCTAGGTGAGCCCGTTCTTGAGTTATAAAATTACAACGAAAAATGGCATTCATTTTTATATACAGGGTGTCCCACGGTGGATGGCGTATTAGACGTTTATAGAGAACTAAAAAGCGGATCATTTTGAAAATTTGGCAACCGGGATAAACGACCATAATCTACACTTTAAAAATATTTTTGTTTATGCGGTGTTGCCGCTTCTACTCTAAACCAGTGGCAACATCGCTATTTTTAATGAAACACCCTGTATGTGATTGCATATTTGGATTCTACGTAAAATTCTGAGCAGATTTTATGTGATATACCCTATACATAAGTTCAACTGTTTTGGAAATATTGACAGTTGAAAATTGACTTTTTGCAACTTTGACAGGCTGTAAAACCTAAACGGTTAATTTCAGAGGAAAACCGATTTTACATTCCTATCTTAGATTTTCGTAAACTATCATTTGACACCAACTTTGAGTTTAACCGGAGATTAAATTTAATTGGAATTTTTAATCATGGATTAAATTCAAAATTGGTGTCAAGTGATAGTTTATAAAAATCTAAGATAGGAATGTAAAATCGGTTTTTCTCTAAAATTAACCGTTCAGGTTTTACAGCCTGTCAAAGTTGCAAAAAGTCAATTTTCAACTGTCAATATTTCCAAAACAGTTGAACTTGGGTATAGGGTATATCACATGAAATCTGCTCAGAATTTTATGTAGAAGCCAAATATGCAATTAAATACGGGGTGTTTCATTTAAAATAGCGATGTTGCCACCGGTTTAGAGTAGAAGCGGCAACACCGCATGAACAAAAATATTTTTAAAGTGTAGATCACGGTCATTTATTCCGGTTGCTAAATTTTCAAAATGATCCGCTTTTTAGTTCTCCATAAAGGTCTAATACGCCATCCACCGTGGGACACCCTGTATATAAATAATGTAAGGACATGCCGTTAACTTCAAAAAATCCTCCCGGAGGTCTCCGCACGCCTTGAAAACTAGAATAAATCGGGACAAATAACACCCAACCCATTAACCCATATGTTAATAAACAAAAACCACATCAATCATCAAAACGGAAACTATCACCTTTTCTTTGATTGAACTGAACCATTTGCCGACAATTCCGACTTACGATAAAAAATAAAGGGTTAAGAGGTCAATAAAATAAATAAGAAACAGCATAATTTTATAATTTCCTATTTTTTGCTTTTGTTTTATAAAAGCGGTAGGGGCGCCATTCGTGTAGGGGCGGGGGGGGCCGTCGCCCCCCCCCTGCCCCCCTACTGACTACGCCACTGCATCGAGACACGGGACAAAATCTCCAATATCGGGACTGTCCCGTTTAAATCGGGACGTCTGGCAACCCTAGTCAGAATGGCAAAAAAACTTAGGGATCTATATAATAATTAGGTGCTTTTTAGGTGCTGATTAGGGCTTCTAATTAAAAATTAGGTGCTCCACTAGTTTTTGAGAAAATCAAAAAAAACTAAGGGACTGCTAGGTTTATGGAAGCTAGAAGTCCCCTAATAATGGAAAAAAAAATCGGTAACTCAGTTAATAATCAATCGCTTCAATTTTTTCTTCGAATATTTAGGAGCACCTAAAAAGAACCTAATTCTGATACAAACGAAAAATTTGAAAAAATATTTTTTGCTTTAGGGGACTACTAGTTTCCATTAACCTAGCAGTCTCTTTGTTTTTTTTTTTTTTTGATTGACCTAATTTTTAATTAGAGGCCCTAATTAGCACTAAGAAGCACCTAATTATTATATAGATCCCGAAGTTTTTTTGCCATTCTGACACACCAACAAGTAAACGTAAAGCCAGCAGTCCCCTTATAATTAAAAAAAAATCTGTAACCCAGTTAATAATTAATCAATTCTATTTTTTCTTCGACTATTTGGGAGCACCTAAAAAGCACCTAATTCTGATACAAAATAAAATTTTGAAAAAATATTTTTTACTATAGGGGACTTCTAGCTTTCATAAACCTAGCAGTCCCTTAGTTTTTTTTGATTTTCTCAAAAACTAGAGGAGCACCTAATTTTTAATTAGAGGCCCTAATTATCACCTAAAAAGCACCTAATTATTATATACACTTTATTTTTTCCCAAGATAGATTTTGACATTGAAAACTTTGAAACATAAACAATAATGCTTGACCCTGATTGGTTGCAAAATGAGCTGTTTCTACAGGTTGGCATCAGTTTTATGATAGCGACCAATAAGGGGGGCATTAGCGGCATTGTTTATGTTTCAAAGTTGACAATGCCAAAATCTATCTTGGAAAAAAATAAACCATAGATCTCGAAGTTTTTCTGAGATTTTGACACACCAAGAAGTAAACGTAAAGTCAGCAGTCCCCTAATAATTAAAAAAAAATCTGTAACTCAGTTATTAATTAATCAATTCTATTTTTTCTTGGACTATTTAGGAGCACCTAAAAAGCACCTAATTCTGATACAAAGAAAAAAATTTGAAAAAATATTTTTTACTATAGGGGACTGCTAGCTTTTATAAACCTAGCAGTTCCTTGGTTCTTTTTGATTTTCTCAAAAACTAAAGGAGCACCTAATTTTTAATTAGAGGCCCCTTGAGAGGCCCTAATTAGCACCTAATTATTATATAGTTCCCGAAGTTTTTTTCTACCTTGGGACTGCTAGGTTTATAGACCTACTCCAGTCTATATGACTGAAAATTATTTCCTATATGTGTATATCATTTGGCATTCAACGTAAGTACTTTGTGAAAAAACTCATAACTAAATAGAAAGGCTCATAGAAAGGTAACTTAGCAGTAATAGGATTGAGTGATTGACCTTAGGTTTGCCAAGACTTTAGGACCTTTGTCTTTTTTGCACAATGAAACTAATCTTCCTTTATCAAATTCAGATTTAGGATTCAGGACATCCTTTACAATTTCTTGCTTGACAATAATAGGTACCTAGATTCTATGCTCTATATTCATTGTGTTCTGAATCTAGTAACATGAATTCAATTCTCATTTCTCTGAATTACAAATTATATTATAGAATGTCATTTTTTGATAACTTCATGGCCTACATTGTGAGTATTTGAAGGAGCATTTGGCCATCGTGATTGACAATCAAAATAATATCTGACATCATCTGGAGATGAACAAAAAATAAATAAAACAAAATTTGACAGGTGTATGTATCCAAGATAATTCTCTCACTTTTTTCAAAGCAGCTGTCAGAAGGCCCTTCCATTTCGATGCGTTTTCTTCTGAATTAAAATCGTAATCGGAGCCTATGCCTGTATTCATATTTTATCTGCCAGGAAAATGTAGAGAAAAATTCAGCAATCGGTCATCGCGAAACAGCACTCCTTTGGCACCGCCATTGTCATCAAATTTCTGCTCTCAAGACATGAAAAATTACGGAAATATTCCTTGGCGAATTACCCCGCGACGGAACTAAAAAAACAACTAAAAAGAGTCACTAGATATCTGTTCGGTTAGGTCACATTGCACATTTCCCGTTACAAACGATTTTCATCGGGAGAAAATTAAAATATTTTCACGGGTTTTCTTTTTTAACGCATTCTCCTCCTCAGGAACACACAAAACAATCAGTTGTCAATCGCCATGTTCGCGATACGAATTGCCTGTTGTCGTCTTTTTTTAGCTCGTATTTGTCGAACTGTTTTGTCTCTTTTTTAGGTGAAAAAAATTTGTGAAGTTAATTGATCCGACTTAGTCCTTTATTGTCTATCTCTGTTTAACTCACCAATGTTTGCTATTAACTGTCTTTGTCATTGGGCAATAATAACTGAGCATGCGTTTCGTGTATGGAATCGATAAATAAGTAATGTTGGCTGCCTATATAAAGTGGGCATACTCTATCGTAAAACACAGTTTTATGTATTTAGTCCGGTAAAATTTTCTTTTACCGGACTCAGTTTGCAGTCTGGTAAAATTGGAAATTTGAAATTCAAACTTCACGTCAGTAGTCAGTACTGACAAAAGTGACAAATGTTTCCACTACAGCAGGTTTCCCAAGATGATAGTAGTAACTTGGTACTTCGCTGCTGTACGATGCAAATTAAAAATACATCATTATTTCAATAGAACATCAACTTTCAACAAAACAGTACGAAATAATATTGTACGTCATTCGTCCGAGAAAACTTTTAAAGTACTTATTTGTTTCAAAATTTCGGACTCGGCTCCTTCGCCGCGTTGTACAGAACATCTAACTTCTCACTCATACTGTTATCTTCCGGACTTATAATGTAAATATCCATCACTATGCTTTAATTACATTCATTATGGACTTTAGGTATTTTCGAGCTTAAGATGTTCTTCACCATTTCATAAGGGGTGTTCATTTGTACTTGCTCTACTACCTGCTCGAAATATTAGGAAGATCTGCAAGGAGTTGCTATTTAAGTCCTTCCCTACATCAGCTCGCAAATGAACGCCGATCTGCTCGAAGCAAGAAAATCAGTACAAATGAACACCCTAATAGGCTGCTCATACCCAGTCAGATCTTGCCACATCTTTGCATTTCTAAGTATATCTTTTCTAGTAGATACCAGGTATAGGGGACGAACATAAATAATCGTCATCACTTTCCGAAATCGCGATCAGAAATGCAAGATGAAATTATTAAAAGGCAATAAATCCACATTAGTATCACAGCTCCGTTGTGCACACCTATAAGCGCTTATAATTTCAGCTATGATTTGTCCATCCAGCCTACAAGTTTGTATCACAGCTCCTTTGTGCACGTACCCTAAGGAACAAACACACTGAGGAAATCATTACCGACAATTTTACCACTGCAGAAGTATTTTGCTGATCACTTTGAAAAAGTTTTTACACAAGAACCTTTGGAATATAACGCTTCTACCAGCAAATTCAAGAAACAATGTAACCCTATCATCTGTACTTATGGTACCCAGCAAGTTGCTAATGGTTTTGCTGACTACTTTAAATCAGTCTATATAGATGGCGCAAATTCGTGCCCAACCTATTGTGGCGGCAGATCAAAATCATATTTTTGTAACAGTCATCTCGTCTAGTCTAGTGATATAAAAGTGGCAGTTGGAAGGTTGAAGGGAAATAACTCAATAGGGCCTGATGGAGCTCCATCATATATATTTAAAGGTTGCTGTGAATCATTTGTTTATCCCCTGCAAAGGATGTTCAATCTAATTCTTGGCACGTCAGTGTTTCAGGAAAGGTGGAAATGCAGCAAGGTAATCCCTGTCCATAAGGGTGGTTCTAGACTAGACAAGACATAAAAAACTATAGGCCAATAACTATTGTCTGTGCAGTTTCCAAAATTTTTGAAATGATTATCTTCAACATGCTCTTTGCTGAGGTCAAGGATAAAATGGCCTTAAATCAACATGGGTTTTTACCAAAGAGGTCTACATTTACGAATCTCGCTACCTTCTCACAGTTCATTCATGAAGCGTTGAATAGAAAATCACAAGTTGATGTTGTATACACTAATTTAGAAAAGGCTTTCGATAAAGTCCGGCATAGCATAATTTTCAGAAGCCTGGGGGATATGGATGTACCTCAAATTATAATCGATTTGATTCATTCATACTTGGGTACTGACCGAAGTAAACGATGTCAGTATGTTGAAATTAAGAGCTGTAAATCGGTAGTTTTTATCAGCACAGCAGGTATTCCACAAGGGTCAAACCTGGGTCCACTTTTGTTTTTGATCGCATTTAACAGGGTATTGTTGGGAGTAAGGAATGTTGAGTCACTTGGTTTTGCTGATGATTTGAAGTTGTTTTTTGAAGTTTCATCAATTACGGATTGTGCAGTGCTCCAGAGAGAGGTGTCTGATATTGTAGCATTGTGTTCTGAGAATAGTTACAAGTTGAACCTTGATAAATGCATGTCATTCACGCACAATAAAAATCCTGCCATTTATGATTATTCTGTAGGTAATGTAAAACTGAAAAGAGTGTCTGAGCAAAAATATCTGGGAGTTATTTTTGATCCTGCTTTGTCATTCTCGGGACATATTTTGTCAAAAATTTCTAGTGCTCAGAAGATATCAGGTTTCATTACAAGAAACACAAAATGTTTTAGTATTGGCATTAGCTTATCTCTCTTTGACAATCTCGTTGTGTCCATCTTAGAATATGGCAGCGTAATATGGTCACCCCAATACCATAATTGGAGTGAAATTATAGAAAAAGTGCAGCGAAAATTCTTGAAATGTCTGTACTTCCGAAAGCTTGGAGTTTATCCCTAGTGTGGCTGTAGCAATGTATATTTGTTGGGTGTGTTCAGTAGACTGTCACTGAAGAAAAGGCGGATAAGAATATTCTTATGCACTATGTATGGGGTTTTGCTGTAAATCGTATTAATTCAAGGAGTAAAAATATCTTTCACTTGGCCTACCCTAGAACCAATCTTTATAAGTGTTCTCCGATCTATAATTTGTGTGATCTATTCAACCTTTATGCCTCAGATGTAGATATACATAGACATTATTAGTCTTAAGGCATTCAAAATGATAATTGACAGGAAACTGCTTTCATCCAGATTGTAGATAAAATACCTACTGTGGCAATATGTCAGAAACTATACAAGTGCAGTTGGGCGTTCCCCAGGAATCTCATTTGGGTCCATTTTTATTCTTGGTTTTTATTAACGATGTATCTTTAATCCTGGATGAATGTAACTGTAACTGCTTCTTTTTCGCATACGATCTTAAAATCATTGAAATATCATCTATAGGCGACTGCCTCGTTTTGCAGAATGAAATCACAAAGCTGTCAAATTGGTGCGAATGCAATGATATTTCATTAAATATATCAAATATCTCGATCCCTCTCAAGAAAAAAGAACCAACTTTTGCATAATTCCTACCATATCAACAACTCACAGCTTCAAGTGGTTGGCACAGTTAACGATCTGGGTGTCTTGATTGATTCAGTTCAGAGCTTCGATTTGTGGGCCACATTGATAAGGTTATCGCCCGAGATTTCAAGTTGTCCGGATTTGTATAATGAGGCAGTGCTGGGAGTTCAAAAGGCTAGAAAGAGTTCAAACAAAGTTTGTTATTTAAAATGAACGTGGATAAAGATAACCTTACACATTCTGAGCGAAATGCAATGTTAAGGTTTGGCTTAACTCTTTACAGGAGGAGGACAAAGCTTTCAATGTCATTTGCATATAAAATACTAAGTGGTATTGTTGACTCTCCTGAGCTTGTTCAATTTTAAAGTACCTACCTGCTCGTTCCACTAGACTAGACAATCTGAACTGTTTTCCTTGAACTATAGCCGTACTGATGTGGGAAAAAATACGGTGGCAAACAGAATTATGGCTCATTTCAATGAATATCTCCCAAAGGATTTTAGCTTCGAAATGCACCTCGCAAACATTCAAAGCCAAATTGAACCGTTTCCTGTGATCATTAATTAGTGTTTTTCTTAAATTGTTTATGTATGTGTTTGGCTATGTAAAGCACTGCCCTTGTGTTTTTGTTTAATGAAGATGTAATATAGTAAGTATGTAGTATTATTCTATATGATTATCGAGTTTTAATTGCAATGTGTTGTGTCAGCATCAGTCTAACTTATGTACCATTTGGAGCCATGTTCTGTAGAGTATTTGAAGAAATGAATAAATAAGTATAAAAATGTGTAAAATCTATCATCTCGCCCCTTGCACACGCTATGACGAACTAGATTAGCGAAAGAATTCCGGAAAAATGGAAAGAAGTCCACATCATCCCAATTCATAAAAATGGCGACAAGATTTCTCCAATAAATTAAAAGTCTCACTTGTAACACTTACAAAACTATGGAAAAAGTGGTAGCCAAAGAACTGAGAAGCTTTCTAATAGAAAACAACATCCTTCTGTCTTCAAAGCATGGATTTTTGCCTAAAAGATTAATTGAAACCAACCTTCTAACATGTTTCGATTTATGGACTAAAATGAATGACGAGTGACACCGGACACCCTATTGACGTCGTATATCTAGACTTTGGAAAGGATGTTGATAAAGCTCCAATCAATCGTATTTCACACAAACTTCAGCATTTTGGAATACGTAACAACGTATTGGGTTGGATCCAAGACTTCTTCAGCGATCGAACGTATCAGGTTAGAGTTAACGGCGCTTAATTCGACTCGACATTCTGCAGTACATAGCGGCTCAGTACTTGGCCCAATTATGGTCCTAATATATATAAGCGACCTGCCAACTATAATTTCAAAACCAATGTCAGTTTTTTCGCAGATGACACCAAACTCTTCTGCAATCCCATCACCAGCAGTCAAAACCTAAAATCCGACCTACTGATGGTATCCGAGTGGTGTGTACTCTCCACATTGGTACCAACAATCCCTTATACAATTACATACTTAATAACATTACGATGAACAGACTACTACTAATGAACAGAGAGATCTTGGCGTCATTGTAACCAACAATTTGAAATCAGATGCGCATATCTCAAAATGTATAGAATTCTCTGGCCTACGTGACGCAAAAAGCATTCAAGAATAACTCAGTTAGGTACTACAATCCTGAAAATATGCAAGTCCTATATCAACAGACCCATATTAGAGTATGACCAATCTGTCTGGAATCCGTATG